ATGAAGAGGAGAGATTCATGCCATGTGTTGAGGTAAGGAACTTATTTTCCTTTGCACCAGACGCAAGCCACTCTGACTCACTTGCTTCTATGTAACTGCTCACCACATCATCTTTGCTTAGGTATTTTTGCGTTCTTTAAACAGCATGGATCTGACGTCATTCAAATTTAATCAGATTGCTACAGTAATAAAATGGCCAATCTCTATAAGAAAAAGCAAGAGGGTCTCTTTTTATTCAAAACAGTTTGTAGTATGCACTGGGCTCATGCCGGTGTGGACTTTACACTCAATATCCTCCTGAGAAGCCAGATGCAAGGAGGTTCTCGTAGCTGGTGGGGGTGAGGAGGTGGAGATCTGTGCTTCATGTGATATCAGTTGCCACACATGGGATATGCAGGCAGGAGTGGGGGGTTTGCAGTAGGTGACAGGCAAAAATATAAACACCCACCTGAGAGAGAAGAGAATCTCTCATACATAATTGCAGAGATAGCTCGACGAGGCTATACACACCCACTGGTCAACAGTAATTGTCAAAATCCAGAGCTGAATAAAATGTAATATTTGGTCTGTCTGACAATTGTGTTACAGCAGAATTTGGTGACTATAATAAAATCTGAAATTACCTCGTACGGGGAATAGCGTATTTTGGCAGATGAAAATATAGGTTATCTGTCTTATCAACCCCAGCGCGTGGACTGAGTTTGTATCAGAAATAGAAACTTAACTGAAAGTAGTAGTAAAAAAAAAAAAAAAAAAAAAAAAAAAATCAACTGGTCAAAAAACTACTACAGAATGGATAAATTCTGTATTAGTTTTTTGACAGGTTGAGATATACATATACTTTTTTTTTTTTTTTAAATATAATTTTCACAGTTAAATTTCTGTTTCTGACACAAACAGTCCACACAGATGACCAATATTTTATTTTCATCTGTTGAAATAGGCTTATTCCCCATATGAGGTGATTTGGGATCTTATTGTTTATTAATTATTTGCTCTGTAATAATAAATACATGGAGCTCTTTTTGTGGATCAGTTTTAATATTTTATATTATTAGGATTCCCTTGGATTATATACCAACGGATTTGTTACCTTTACTATATATATCTGACAACGTAGTTTTTGTGGCTGTACAAATACAGATGTTATTTGCACAGTTTAAGAATACACAGGAATTGTAAGACATTACAGTAAATTCATTTGTTGCTTTATTTTCAAAATCATTCTTTGGATTTGAGATTACATTTTGAATACAGATTGGATTAAAATAAAACTTTTTTTCTTTTTTTTAAAATTTTGTAACAATTGTACAGAGTTCTAAGATAGAGATTAAAACAAGTAATCTTTGTTGCTTTTACCCTTTATAACTTATAAAAAGTCAAATTTAATGTTGCACAAAAAAAAAAAAAAAAAAGAGATGATTGTGCCATTCCAATCTTTCAAATTTCAGCATCTGAAACCCTGCTCTTGGACATGGACCATCGTGCTGATCAGAAATGCACAACTACCAAATACACTTGAATTTAGTTTTCTATTTATAATAAAAACAAATTCATCCTCTATTTGGGATCTTATAACAATATTAAAAAGAAAGAAAAATGTGCATTAGGTATGATTTCGCTTCTTTTTTTTTCCCCCCCACTGGTAAAGTGGTGTGTGATTGGGGGGCATAATTGCATAGATTATAATTTTCATGGTTAAAATACACAGAAAACAGTATTATGGAAACTGGCTCAGTGTTTTCAATGTCATAGAAATGTATACATATAAATACATTGTTATTTTGCTTCAACTACTTGATTATTTTTCTTGAAATTCTAGCCATAGCAAAATGTTAGCATTGGCTGCAGTTAATGTTTTTATTCACCATTGATACAATCAACTATTATAAGGCGATTATATATTTGGTCCAAATTCCATATATGCGGATTTATATACAGTCACACAATAAGTATATTACTGTGTTATTTGGTTTATATTAGGTAATTAGTATTTGTTTATAGTCTAACTAGTACTTTTAATAAAGTGAAATTATAATGCTTCTACAGTTATTAATCTATTGATATATTAGTTGGTTTGCTGTGTTAGCAACATCTTGCCATTATATTTGACATTCAGATGTTGTTAAGCATAACTCGTGTCTGAATGCTCAATGCAGTCAAGATATTTGTAAATCTTTTAAAGCCTTCAAAGTCAAAATGTAAATTTAACTAAGGAACCAAAAACAAATGAACTAATCAAGTTTAAATTCATGATGATGATATTTGGTTTTCTGAGCCTCTCTTCTCCAGCTGCTTCTCTCCCTTACAACAAAGGAATGCTAATTGTCTCAAAGTGCACTGCCTTGACAAAATTAGGCTTTATTTGCTGAAAGAGCCAATTACATAGAAACTGGTATTTTTCATTGTCAATATGATTGCGAAGGCACAATTTTCAATGTTGATGAAAGCTTAAAGGCTTTTAAAAATAGTGTGTGTGTGTGTGTGTGTGTGTAAGAGGGGTACCAACATTTACAAATTTTGTCTGCCATTCCTTATTCCCACTGAGCTTTAAAAAAAAAAAAAAAAAAAAAAACCCTGGGAAAATTATAGCTCACCTATTTATTGCATATCAAACAATCTTTCATTATAAATGTATTAGTATGCTTTCAGATGACAGATTTAAGAAAATTGGTTTCATGTTCACAACTTCAGTTGTATTTGATCAACAAGATATTATTGTTAAATCATTAATTGATTGAACAATTAGAAGGTTCAGTTAAAAGAAGTAGTTAGTTTGTTTTTTACAAGGTACGGTCATAGAAAATTATTTTAATGTCAACTTAGTAATATATTGCACTATTTACTCAATGCATATTCATCAAGACCCATTTCTAGATTTCGAAAAATGTAATATTTATTTTACACACCTTTGTGGTGTGCAATACATCCTTAACCATTAGCACTCTGTAGGCGACTATTTTCGCCAAGCAAAATGTTAGTACTGCCAATGCAAGTTGAATTTGAATTTCTTGGTTGTGTAGTCATATCCTTCTATGGCAACACCGAAAACAATCTTGACAAACTGAGAGCCAAGCTACTGCAATTTCAGATAAATAGAACTAATATATAGAACATTATATTTTAAGGGGATTCCATATACAGTAAAAGGGAGAAGTAATACTTATAAATGATGCAGAGTGCTAAATTTTAATATTTTATTTAATATCTTTGTAACAGACTGAAATTTTGGTAGCAGAGTTAAATTTCCAACTGGGAGGTGTATTTTTTTTTTTTTAACTTGCTAAAATAAAAATGTATGGAAAGTAGAAATTGCAATTTAGAACCTTTTTCCTGTGAGCCTATTAGTTGTGAACCAGTTCTGGTTGACAATGATACTAGTCATTCAAAAGATTTACATGAATAAAATAAAAAGAATCTTAAGAAATAACAGAAAAATTCAGCTTTGGCTTGCAAAAAGGACAATGTGCACAACGAGCAAACAAGATAAATAAATAAAAAGATAACTTTAGATAAAAAGTCTCATGCCAAGTTGTAATGTTACTAACCAACATTTTATAGCCAAGAAGCACCATTTTTCAGAGAAAACAGTGAAATTAAAGAAAAATAATATTTTTTTCTTATAGACATCTTAACTGACATATTGTCTTACCATAATTATGAAATGTACAAAGTAGATTGGAATTGGTCCATGTGATCAACAAATCAAAGTTCAATTGTCTTCTACAACTGATAGGAGAATTCAGTGGGCAAATAAATGCTGATAACTTGGCAATATCTGGCTTTCAAAACATCCAAAATAGAATCTGCTTAAGTAGTGGAAAATTATATGTACAGTAACTTTATACAAAGTTACTAGCAATGTGTATTTTTATCATAATTTTATTTTATTTTCAAAATATCTGTAGTAGTTCTTATTGATCAGAAATAATGTTGCTTAACTTTAAATGAGAAGAAATATAAAATGGTGACATGTTGAATGTGTATCTTGATCTTTGCAAGACAAAAGAATTTCAGAAATCTCCATTAACCATAACAACCATTATTTATACTTTGCGATTCCAGTTAACATAGAATGAAAAGGTTCACAAAACTTTCCAGGCTGTTATTTGGACTTTCTGAAATATGTCTTGTTGCCAGAATTTTCACAAGGATAAATTCATTTGCCAGAATTTTCAATACAGCAAAACCTAGAATTTTGTAGTAAAAATTGTCTTTACATAATAAAAAGGGAGCTTTTCTACAACCTATTTTTACAAGTAGTCCGATATTAACATTTAAATTATAATAGCAATAAATATTATTATAGAATTATTATACAATTAAAAGGACAAGAAAAAGGCCTTCTTTTTTTTCATTCATTCTCAGTATTTCTTGATATTCTTTCAGTTAGAAGCTAAAATGTTGGACAGGTGACTTTACGTGCACCCAAATGATTTAGGAAGTATTACAATCCCTTACCAGAAAAAAGAATAAAGAAAAGAAGATTAAATACTTTTTTCAGTGATACCATATTGAAAAGGTATTAAAACATTAATAATAGTTTTAATTTTTCCAATTTCATAGAAAACAATTAAATAAACACAGCAAAAACTTAAATTAACAGTAAAAGTTAAATAAAAAAAACAAGCAAAGACAAAAATAGTTTTTGGCACCCTTTAAAATATAGAAATAAATATTTTTGTCTTTCACAATAGTATACATAATATGTTGAGAAAAAAAAGGTTAAATTTGTCATTAATTTAATATTTTTGTTTTCTCTAAGAAACAAATGACCAAAATTAAAAGAAGACCTTTTCACAATATTGCAACATTTATACATTGAAGTTTTGTACAAAGAAAAAAAAAAAAAAAATTACAGTTGTTTGAGAGTTTTACAAAATCAGAAAACTTCACCAGATACAGTGATGCTGGCCTATTTTTTGCCTGGTATGATCACAAGCCCTTTGATTCAAAATTTATTTTTTTCCCCTTCACAGCAATTACCTTCAAATCGTCATTTAATGAGACAGTTTATTTTGTCCAAGAGGGACAGCTGGTTGATTTAATATGGGAGGTTGTCGTTCATTGACATGAATGTTTGGATTAGCTAGAGGGTTGAATGCTGGATCATCTTCTGTTGCCATGTGACCCAATCGAGAGAAGATCATCACAACTGTTATAAAGCCAATCAGTCCAATGATTAGTACCATTATAAACCTTTTCATTGTTGCATTTGGATCTCTCATCCTTTTGCCTTCTGTTGTTCTGTGGGGGGAGAAGACAACAAGAGAGTCAAACAAATGTTTAAATAGATTGCACACAGTTTCAGATTAAACTTGTGAGGTGGAAAACAATGATTTAAAAAAAAAAAAAAGCACAGACAGACCCCCCCTCCAAGCAGTACTTTAAAATCTACAAATGGTATCAGTAAATATTTGCACATGAGATAGTCAAGCAGAAGTGGAAATTGAAAGTCCGAGATGTCAAAGGTATTAGAATATTTCAGGATTAAACATCAATGAACAAAGGTGTCATCATAGTTGAGGTGAAAACAAATATGAACTTAATTCAAAGTCTATTGAATTTAATAAAAACAAATTAAAAACAAAATTCCAAAGTTACATATTTAAAAAACTAGATGCATTTATAGAAACATTGCATAAAATGTCAGATTCATACAAAATGAGAAAAGGAGAGGCACATTTTTCCAGAAATAATAAAAGTTGTTCCTTTTTAACTTTAATGAGAAAAAAAAAGTTAGAAACCAAATCAAACATTAAAGCTGATTTTTTTTTTTTCCTGGCGTCAATCACTCTTACTTTTTTTATTCAGTTCAAAAAGAGCAAAAGACATGGATTAACTGAGAAGAATTTTTTTTCTTTCTTATACTTTTCTTCTTATAACATTAATTGGGTTTCAAGTTCTATACTGATATTGGAGGCTTCTTCTGTTTGTTGTGTCCATGCAATAATTTAAATATTCAAATAAAAACATCCAGTTACCTAATTTATGACATTTGAGGTTATCAAAGAAGACATGATATTTTTATCAAAATGTAGTGAGGTATTGAGTTTGTTATGGAGTACAGAAATTTTTTTTTTAACCGCAAAAATTTGGGGTGGAAAAAAGGTAAAATTATTTTGTGGCTTTTATGTTATGTATTGTAGGCAATTACATAAAATCAGTATAAGTGAGGGTAAACTGGGAAGGGAAAAATGATGAGCTAGGTGGTACTGATCTCTAAGGTCATGAAAGGTGACTTTAAAAAAAAAAAATTTTCACCAAATTAAAAATTCAAAGGGTAAAATTATTTTTTAGCTCTATTCCATCAACAATATGTTTATAAGACAAAAATTCTAACATTTCCAAGATTAAACTTTATTACTTTAAGCTGTTGTAAGTGTTTAAAAAAAAAAAAAAAAAAAAAAAAAAAAAAAAAAAAAAAGGCTTCTCATAGCTTACTATGCCTGTCTTGAAGGTCGTTCCCAAGAATAAAAGGAATATTGGTTCAGGTTCAATTCCTGTGAAGTACATTTTTTTTTATTTTTTTATACAAAGACTTTACATCTCTAGGCTAGTAGATGTTAATTTCACTGTCCAAAAAATAACCAATAAATATAATGTTCATGATTTTAATTTTTTTTTTTTTTTTAATTGAATTCAACCCATGCAAGGCAGTAAAGCCACTAAGACACAAGGATTGTGAAAGAGAAATATTAAGGAGCGAGAACAATAGGAGAGTAATCAGGAAGACAGTAGATAATGATTGACATTGCATTTAATTTTTGAAGATCAAAGTTGGCTGGAAAACATGGAGCCAGAAGAGAGTTCCACAAGCAAGAAGTGTGAGAAAAGAAACTGTTAGCATAGACCTTGCTGTTACATCTTGTCAATTCAACAGTGAATTGATGAAAGCTTGCCATCAATCTAGTACTGCATTTAAATTCATAAAGACTAAGTAACATCGAGGAAAGAGTTCATCCGAACAATTACCATGAAAATATTTATAGAAAAGGTGGTGGGAAATAAATTGAAGCTGAGATGCTTGGTCAGGGCCAATAACATTGCTGATTCTTCTTTGGATTTTATTAAGAATATATAGCAGGAGCACCGGATTGTATGTGGCAACAATATTGAAAGCATGGACGAATGGTAGACTTATAGTTATGTAAGATAAATTCGAGAGAGAAAATTTGTCTCGCACGACATAGTGAACAAACTTTTTTGGCAGTAGACCTAGTAATGAATTAAATATAGTCTTTCTACTAGTTTTTACTAAAATGATAGGGCAACAAAGAAGTTACAAGGTAATGTTTAATAAAAATAATATTTTATCTGATTTACTAGATAATGAGAATTTGAGAACATTAGAATGTTAGCCTGAGAAAATGCAACGAAGTCACTCTCCTGGAGGTTAGCATCAGCCATTCTGATGAAAGGCAGAAAGGAGTCTCTCACATGATTAATAGAGAGAAGTTTTGTTTTGGGCACATTAAACATAACAAGCTGTTCTTTGCCCCATTTAACAACAGACTGTAGGCCCATTTTGAGATTAGCTGCCAATTTAACTTTATTGAACTGATCAGTCTATCATATCAAGATTATAGATATGTTAAGTAATGTAGTAACTTCTTTGATTTCATTTTTGATGAAAACATCCTTGCTATTGAATAATATTTATATGATAGGTGGACTGTATGAAGATATGAAAGTTTGTGAAGCCTTGTACTAACCAGGAAGAGTAAAACACCAAAATGTGTAATTTATAACAAGTTCCCATTTAATTTGTTTTAGGCTTTAGAGCAATGAAGAAAATAAATAAAATGATCCACCAGAGTTATGTTAGCAGTTATATCCTCTCAAGGAATTTATGGGCTAAAGAATTGAATGAAAATTATATGGCAATAAGAAAGTTACAAGGTAATGTTTAAAAAGAATTGATATTATTTTATCTGATTTATTAATGAGAATATGAGAACATTAGAAACTACAAAATAATATAATTAGAACTTAAATCAAATCTCACAACTTTACAAATAAGTACACAAAATTCTTTAAATTTCTACTTATATAAATACTGATTAAAAAGTGCAAATTAACCAATATACAATCATTATCAGATGCTGTTAATGTGTTGCCAAAATAAAATAATGAACTTTAAAGAAATTTTTCAGCAAATTTATAAAAATCAAAAACTGTGTGTGCATAAAGAAAGGAGATGGATTTTTATTAATCCGATAGATTTTTGTTATTTAAACGTTATTTTTACTGGATAATCGTATTTGAGTAGATGTTCCATTTATTTATTAAATGTATATTTATTTACTTATTTTCGTCTACTGGCCTGAATATGTGAGAAACATATGCAGTTTCTGACAGGATTTGAACCTGTGTTCCCCAGGAAAAACCATCATTAGATCTGACATGCTTTGACCTCTCAGTTTTGCTAGGTCATTGACACTGTCTGTAGTAGATAGGCCAAAGCACGTCAGATCTAATGACTGTTTCCTCTAGGAGAACACAAATTTGAATCCTACCAAAAAACATATTTTTCTCTAATATTCAGCCCATTAGAAAAATTAAATATACTGTTTAATAAATAAAAAGTATCCACTAAAAATAATCTTTAAGTAATACACACACACATACACACAATAGTGTGTTTGTTTTAATTTTTTTTTTTGTCATTATTCCTAGTGAACAGAAAACATTCTACTATACATACTTAAACAACCTTCCAAGCCAATTCAGAGCAGGGCGTCGCCGGTATTTGTCTTCATCATGGTCATGTGACATGTTCAATACATCATCTTTGGTGGAGTCAAATAACTTTCTTGGACCTGTATAATAAAAAATTACTTTAAATACAAGACAATGCAAAATTTGAAAAGTATATATATTTTAGAAATATTTCATTTTTTTCTTTTCTTTTGAGAATCTAACATTTTGAACTTTCTCTAAATGTGTTTATCACCTGTGTACAGTCTGCATAAAAAATATATTTTGTTTTTTTTTTTCTCTTATTCAATTGGGCTTATCTCTAGACTAAATATTCTACTGGTCTATTGAAAATTTCATGCTTAACACAAGTAGAGACTTAACCATAATGCAATTTATTGTAAAGATCATTGCTAATTCAAGCATCAGTAATTGTGCCATTAACAGAGTAAATAGTTCTTCAAGTAAATTGTAAATAAAATCACATGTCAATTGGTAACAACCATATAATGGCAACTCTTGGAGAAATTTATTTTTAGAATTATTTTCATTTATCCTAGTTGTAATTAAACAGAAAATTAAGTGAACTCTTCCAGATTTGGCAGTAAGTAGGCAAAAATCAACTATTTTTTAGTATTTTTAAGAATTTGTAATTATTTCTACAAGTCACTTATATTTATTTCTTTTTTTTCTAGAGAATATATAATTTATAACTCATTTAAAAATATTTTTCCATATAAAAGTATTTCTGTTCTAATCCAAACGTTTAATGGAAATAAAACAAAAGGCACTTTCAAAATTTGCTTTTACATTCTTCAAACGAAATGTTATTCATAAAAAAAAAAAAAGATTGAAATATCAGTATTTTTTTTCTTTTCCTTTTGCATACCATCAGTGTATAGTATATTTTAAAAATTTATTCAATGTTAAAAGGTTAAATGTTACATAAACATCAAACAATATATTTAAAAAAGTTACTAAAAAAATAAATAAAATAAAATTAGGTCTTTAGTTTATATTGAGGTTTAAAATTTTCAGATTCAGGGTATCAATTAATTAAATAATTAGTTGATTTCAATTCATGTATTCATCATTTTATAATAATAGAAACATTTAAGTTTGGATTGATATTTATTGAAATATAAAATTAAATAAGAATGAGAAGGAATTGCTTACATAAAAAATATTTTTTAAAAAGACCTTTTCAGCAATCAAACAGTAAATCCAAAAAGTTGAATTAAAATTCATTATTTGATTTTCGGTAAATTTTTCAAACATTTACCATGTATATTTTGCAATTATTTGGTAATAAGCATTCCAGTTGATTTTCCTATTTAAAACAACAGTGAAGACAAACTTCAAAAGCAGATAACTTTGTTTCTGCAAAAGAAGATTTTTCACATCAGATTTTTTTCTTCAATTCCTCTTTATTAAATGATAAAGAATTTTAGGAAAATTAACTAAACTTTTCTATGTCATTGAATGGTATGGGGTCTATTTTTTTTATAAGTTTTTGTCCGATTAATATTATATGCTAAACAAAAATACGTTTTCTGCATTTCTTTTTACCTCCAACTTGCATCTCCCTAGTTAGTACTGAATGTTCTTGAAGAAAAAAAATATAAGACAATGTGATTGTAAATATCATTTAGATAATGTCAATGAATCCAACATTATATTCAGTGTCGTTTCTCTATCACATATTAGATTTTAATCTTCAATCTCTCTCTAATGAATGGATCAACTTATGGAAGATGCAAAATAAAGATAACTTCTTTTGGGTTACAGGAATGTAATGTTTGCATAAACACCAGACAATATATGCTAATATCTATCAAATTGCCAAGAAAAGTCTATTCTGGACTTCTCTATAAAGAAACTTTGCTGTTATTATGACTGATTTCTTTTCATTATGATGGACCAATTTACATCAGTAGGCAGCATCACTTAATCTGGTGAAGTTGCTTAAACCGAGAGAACAGAAAATATATTTCACCCTTCATTCATTAAAGCGACACAAAATAAGCAGAATAGCTGGAGATGAAAGACTTGTAAAAAAGAAAAACTTGTGACTTACTCGTAAGAATTCCTTTCTCACCACGGGCTGTGGTACCTGCATCTACATTGATCACACTGTGTGAGGGAGCTGTTGAAGAAGCCATGATAGGCGTACTTGTATAAGGGCTAACCTGGGCACTTGGCCGTGTATATTGAGGCATATTGGTGCTGCTGCTATTTGGCGTGAGAGTTTTCTTGGCATCTACTTGAGAATGGACTGAAGTTAATGATTGTGATGAAGTGATGTTGTGTACAGCCAATGGTGGAGCCGAGAAAGATGATGCTGTACTTGACAGCGCACTGGACTGCTTGTTCATAGATGGAGTTTCCTCCTTTATCTGAAATGGAGGACGGCAGTGCTTTCTTTTACTAAAACATGAAATAAATTTACACACACACAAAAAAATTACTTTCTCCTTGTTTATGCACCCATACACACACTGATTGCTCTCATCTTACTCAGATGAGAGCCACCTCCCTCACATCATTTGTGATAGCTTCAGTTTTACTTTGACATCCATGGCTCTTAAGAGGACTTTATACCAGCCTTGATTCCATTGGTATCAGATATGACAGATAAACTTGATAGGAATGATTGGATCTGCATACCCCAACAACTCAGTCCAGATGAGAGGTCATACAAAGACACACACATATATATATATATATATATATATATATATATATATAATCAAGTCACCCTAAACAAGGTGATAATGCCGTTAAGATGCAAGAGGCTACTGGGAGTAAAAAAGACTAAGAACTGGAAACCCAATCCTAAACAGGAAACAAGTGATATATATATATATATACACACACGGTTGCTAAAAAGGTTCTTGGCCAGATACCAAGTCGTCTCTAAAAAAAAAAAAAAAAAAAAAAAAAATGGAAAGATGGTTGAGCTGATAATTTTCAGTACCCCCATATATACGTTGATAGGAAATAAATTTGAAGGACGATGCCAATCTTGACCTGGATAGGAAAAAAGAATGCCAGAGGGGATATCAGACATTTTGATCAAATTTTGAAAGATTTTTTTTTGACATAGCCGTATAGCATAAGACAGCAACACATGCTGTGATAAGATTCAGTGCAAAGAAAGATTCCAGTGAGAGCAAGTGTCATGCCATGGTGATGGACGTGTACTCCTCTTGTTCAATTTCGATTGAAGACACTGGATAGTTGTTTTGGATAATTGGTGTGCACATTGGACATGATACAAGTGGCACATCTGTAGACCTTGTTCTGGATGGCCAAACAGACCAAAATTCAAGAAATTTGAACATATTACCCAGAATTTAGTGTATCAGCACATCTAAAAAAAAAAAAAAAAAAAAAAAAAAAAAAAAAAAAAAATCAAGAACAGCATTTCCAATGAATCATCATTTCAATGGCAAAAAAAAAAAAAAATTACATCTTATGTCCCTCAAACTTACCAGTTCGCAGTGTGTGTGTGTATATATATATATATATATATATATATATATATATATATATTACATACACAGTTTATTCACAATGCTTTTATGCTGACAATTCTTTCAGATTCAAGAAAATGCTGTATAAACAAGTGTTGAGCTGCACTTTGCTAAAGTTTAACCAGAAGTAATTGAAAATAGAAATGTCCAACAATTTCATGCAGCTGAATGCTAAAAGAAAATTTCACTCAAATTAATGCATGGAGATGATTAATCAAAATCTTAAATATCAGTTTCTGGCATTCACACAGCCATACATCCTACAGTTACAGAATCACACTACCTAATATACTGAATCTCATGGAGAATACATAACAAATTTACTAGAAATGTTTGGTACAATGATATCTACATGGACCATGTAATCCCAAACAAAAGATTAATTTCTGCATTGATGAAAAGAACATAATATTGCCTGCTTCATAGTTGAAATTTGAGACTGAGTAAAAATGAAGATTTTTGAATGCAGAGAGAAACTTTCTACTTGGACGATTATCACAAGAGATGTCTTCACTTGATTTGTCACATTTGACCTTATGCTAGAAGTTTAGTAAATAAAAAAGACCAAACGGGTAAATAAGAGTGAAATGTTCTCAAATTAGGTCAATTATCATTAGTTTATTTCTGTTATATCTTCAACTATTTATATAAAGGAAAAAACACACACACAGGGATCTAGGATAGACCTGCATTCAGTGGGATTTGAACCTATGCTAATAATTAGTTAGAGAAAAAGTGCTGGAGCAATTAACAAAGTACTATAACAAAAAAATAAAATGAAAATGCAGATAGTATGGAATCATAATTTATCAGATGATCTTACCAATGGTAATCCTAATCCAGCTCTGGCCCAATTGACTTGAATGAGCATCTGTCTCAAGGCTTCAGCTACTGGGGACATCAAGTTAGCAGGAGGGAAGAGGCCATGTTTGCAGGTGGGACAAGAGTAACCAGCAGGTGCTGTATTAGATGGCATTTGGCTGGCAAATTGATTCAGGCAATCCCAGTGGAAAACATCTGAAGAAAGAAAGCAGGTTTGATAGATTTTTAAAATTCTGTGCATATAATTATATAGCATTAAATCCAGAGAAAAATTATTCTTGTGTTAATGGCTGTTATTACTTTCTAGAATTCTGGTAAAAAATGAAAATGAATCTTGACTCAATAGTTTTTAACACCCAACTGTTACCATGGTTTTAACCCTTAACCAACCACTTGCTGCTTTTTATTGCTCATACACAAAAATAATCTAGGAATAGTTCACTGACAAACCAGTTTTTTTTTTTAACTGTGAAGTTTTCAAAATTTGAAGATTTTCTATAGCTAGTAAAAAAAAAAAAAAAAAGATTTTGATTTTTTATCAAGAGAAAGTAATTATTAATGCACACAATTTTTGAAGAAGTGTATTAGTACATTTAAACTTTGCTGTAGCATCTTTTGTGATAAACTGATTATTCTGATATCACCAATGACTACACTTCAGTAATGACCAGTTTCAATTCTACAAAACTTGATGGGTAGTATTTTCTAAATCTCTTGATAGCTCCCCATAAATTTTCTATTGAATTTGCATTTGGGCAATTTGCAGGCCAACCAAGTACAGTTATCCTCTTAAACCATTTTTTGTAGATTTTACTTTGTGGGGGTGAAGAAAGGTCATGCTGGAAGATGAATTCACTGTCCATTACAATGTATCAGATAAGGAAACAATCTAGAACATTCTGATAGGTAGCAACATTAACCAACCTTTTCAAGAAACAGACCATTCCAACACCAGGGACATACATACTGTCACAGATTGAGGGAATTGTACACATTTTTATGCATTTGGCATCATAGCTCTCCAAAAAATATGATCACTGAAGATAATTTTATTCATTACTGAAAATGACTTGGTTCCATTGACCAACAGATCAATTTTGATGATCTTTAGCCCAGGTTAAACACATCTGTTTCTGCTTCAAAATTGGTATCCTGTTCTCATATCCAAGCTGATGGAACCTTGGGAATGTTGTGGATCAAGAAATGGCTATGGCTACACCAACATCATTCCAGGCTTTGCCAATTGTGGTGAAATTTGCAAATACATTGAATTTGCATTTGGGCAATTTGCAGGCCAATCAAGAACAGTTATCCTCTTCTTCTTAAACCATTCTTTTGTCGATTTTGCTGTGTGGGGTGGAGCAAGGTCATGCTGGAAGATGAATTCACTGTCTCCCAAACTAGTCCTCAATGTATGATATAAGGAAATCATCTAAGACATTCAGATAGACAGCAGTATTAAGAGAGCGTTTTAAGAAACACATCTTTCTGACACCAGTGACTGAAGTACAATCCAAAAACCATTAGAGATTGAAAGAATTTTACATTTTCTATCATACATTTGACATTGTATCTTTCATGTGACTTTCTCCACACATTGAAACCATGATTACTGAAGGAAATACAGAGTTTTTTTTATTTATTGCTGAAAATGACCTGAGCCCAGCAGAAACTTTGAGTGTCTGTAGCCCAGATGCTTCTGTTTAAAAGTTACTAGTGGCTTTGAAATCAGCAACTGGTCATCATAACTGATCTGATAGAGTGACTGAAGTGTTGTAGATAGAGAAACAGCTACACTAGTATCATTCTAGACTTTGGAAATTTCACCATAATTAACAAATCAATTGAAAATAAAAGATCCTATTCAGCTGATGTTCATCTCTAGCCTTAACTTGGAACCAGTTGGATTATTTTGAACAAGTTCATCTGATCTTAGAGACAACAGACAGAGCAACCCAATGGTATCTTTTAAAATCTTACCAGTTTCCCCACATTCACATGTGAATGATGACCTTTCTCTACCTGATATATATACTTAATTCTTGCTATTTAGAATACTGAGTGACAATATACTAAACACCAAAGATTCCACTTCATTTTTATACCAATTCTTTGACACTTAGAATACTTATAAAATTACCTCATATGTAAATGATTAAATAAATTTCAACTGTCATGGAATAAATACCATACATCTCAAACGGACATATTATAAAAGTAAATTTTCCTATTTTAATAAAAATATATTCCAGTAGGAAATATGAAAGTCATTTGAAAAAAAAAAAAAAAAAACAAACAAAAAAAAACAAAAAACAAAAAAACAATCCATTTTTCTGACTTTGTTGTACAAGAATTTGCATTTTCTTTACTTTAACTGTTGCTATGGAAATTAACAACAATTGTCAGTTTCAAATAATTATAAAAGACCAAAAAACTAAATTATTTAACACATACATGTTTTCATGGCTATGACTAGTTTGGACAAGCTATGACCAGCTAAGACCAGTGGCCTGAGTGAAAACACTCGGGTTCCCCACGTTAAAAACTGACCTTGTGTCACATACTGACACAGTGGGGCATCAAGTAAATATCTCCTACATGTTTTTAGAGAGACTAATGGAGAGAAGGAGAAACATATTTTACTTTATGCTTTATAAAGTGGTAAGACACTACAAAATTGATATATTGAATTAAAAGTCTGTAAAATACCATCTTGTAATTTGAAGTAATTACAAATTAAAAAGGAATAAAAAAAGGTTAAAGAAAAATGCTTACCATAACAAACTAATCGGACACATTCCCCAGAATCTTCTTCTGTGAGGCCCTTATTACACAAACTGCACAGGGGATTGTAGTCGCTATCTTGCAGCCATTGCAGATATGACTGGACAATACACTGAAAAAAAAAAAAAAAAAAAAAAAAAATCAGGAAGAATGAAAAGAAACATTTAGTGCATACACAAAAAAAAAAAAAAAAAAAAAAAAAGTAAAAAGAAAAATATCTGTAAAAGTTCAAATAACACATGACAAATAGTTTATATCTAAATGAAAGATCTAAAACAAAGCCATTCACAATATATGAATGACCTTGATCTCTTGCACTGTAATGTTAAAGAAAGCAAATACCATTGATGCACCTTAAAACTCTTGATCTTGATTAACAGTTTCTCAATGAATCATAGAACGTCTTACACTTATTGGCTCCAATCAGATATATTAAAGTTGTACAAGTTTCCAAAATTAAAATTTTCAATATACATTTTTAATATAAAAATTAATCTGGTTTCTGAAAACAGTTGGCCTTACTGTTGATGTCTTTTAAGTAAATTATTAAGACTAAGGTTTTTACATGTGTGTGTGTGTATATATATATATATATATATATATATATATATTTATTCTGTTTATTCGTTATTTAATAGGTACAATTTATTTAAGTAAATGCTCTGTTTTTTAAATAAACAGTATTAATTACATTTACTGGCCTGAATGTTTGAGAAATTTTGTAGAAAATATGTGTTCCTTGACAGAAATCGAACCGGTGTCCTATACGGAACCATCAATTGATCTAACATGCTATGCTACTCAGCTACAGAGAAAGTGTCTGATTAAAAATTTTGCAAATTACTGTTTATAAGCAACAAATCTTTGATGATTTTTCTTGAACAATCATACCTGCTCATGAAAGATTGTCAAAGATTTTTTGTTAATAAACAGTAATTTGTACTTTGCTAACCAAATGTTTTCTCTGTAACTGAGTAGTATAGCATGTTAGATCAAGTGACAGTTCTGTATAGGACACTAATTTGATTCCTGTTGGAGAACACTTATTTTCCACAAAATTTTTGAACATTCAGGTTGGTAAATGTAATTAATATATATGAGAGAGAGTTTTATTTGCTTTGGTTTTTTGGGAAAAGTAGGAAAAAATTTTTTTAAATGTGTTATCAGAGAATATTAGGTTGAAAGTCCTGTTTCTTAACAATATAGCTTCTAATGTAATTTCTAGCATTTGATAACTGTAAAATTGATAGTCTTGTATTATCATTGTGAAACAATTGCAGACTTGATCATTAATCTGTCATGAGAATACAAGTGAATATTTCATTAGTTGCTAACAAATTTAGCTTATATATGCTGTTTGTTTAGAAGCTGTCATTAGTAACTCTAGATTGGTAACATGCTAAATTTTATATCCTGATTTATATAGACATTTTTAATATAAATTTTATATATTTTTATTTAAAAATTAAAAACATTAGAATTTAGCCCTTTCTTATAAATCATGTTTGCCTTGCAGTAATTGCTTAGAACATGTTCATCTTTTTACACTATCTGATCTCCCTCATGATTTACAGTTTGACAATCTTTCATGAGCAGGTATGATTTTTCAGGAAAAATCATCAAAGATTTGTTGCTTATAAACAGTAATTTGCAAAATTTCTAATCAGACACTTTCTCTGTAGCTGAGTAGTATAGCATGTTAGATCAATTGATGGTTCCGTATAGGACACTGGTTCGATTTCTGTCAGAGAACACATATTTTCTACAAAATTTCTCAAACATTCAGGCCAGTAAATGTAATTAATACTGTTTAGTTAAAAAACAGAGCGTTTACTTAAATAAATTGTACCTATTAAATAACAAATAAACATATATATATATATATATATATATATATATATATATATATATATATATATATATATATATGTAAAAACCTTAGTCTTAATAATTTAGTTAAAAGACAGCAACATCAACAGTACCCCACTCCTCTAAAAATACCCTATTTTGCAGATCAATCAAACAATTCTAGTGGAGAATATTAATCAAGCTTTATGAAAATTGATGTGCACATATTTTTTTCTAAAAGACAACTTACATTTTAACAATAAAGACCTTTGGAAAAAAAATGATAAAGTAATTTTAAGTATGAAATTTTAGCAATATATAAGTTAAAGAAAGCGGGGGTCTTTTTTATTTATTATAGAAGAACAAATTACTATAGCTAACAAGTGAAATTTTGTCTTTTGTCAGTTTTATCAAATCTTCATGGAAGCATGATTCCCCACCCCCCTCATACACTCAGTTAATTCAAATCTTTATGATGTACTTTTCTAAATTTTTTTTTTTTTAAATTGGATAATGGGTACATTATTTATCCAGCTGAAATCAGTCTTGGTTTCCCATGAAAGATATATAAACATAAATTGTATTGGATTATGAACATTGTCTCAACCAATGTCAGTTACATTTTTCTTTTCAACTGTTGAAAACTAGCTATGAGTGTATAAGTAAAAATGTAGATAATAAAATCCTAATTTACAGTTGGAGAGGAGAGAGAGTCCCCTTTGACATTTCCACACTGCACACAGCTTGATCAGTTTTTGAATTCACACAGGCAGCAAGGAAATGGCAAAATAAATTATCAAGAACAAACATGACAGGCCATTAGTGTATTTTCTAGCAATGAACTAAAAAAAGCACTGAGTAAATGATGATAATTGACCATTTCAATGTATCAGAAGCTGAACAGAGGCCTGGAGAGATGATGGTAAAGAGATGTCTGAAGATACTTGGAATAAATTCAAACAAAAGATTGATTAAATCTACTGTTTCCAAGTTAAGAAACGAATCACAGAAAAAGTCTTTGATGGGTTTTGTGACTATTTCCGTGTATACATTTTTAATGTAGTCATTACGGAACTTCAGAAGATTAAAAACTGAAACATTAATTACTTATTTATGGAAGAATATAACTAAAAATAGTGAAAAATGAGGAAGCTAAAAGATGACAAAAGATAGCATAAGTATAAAAAAAGAAAAGAAAAAAGCGAGACAGGTTAAAACTGACAGAAACTAAAACTTGAAAGCGATAACTGCAATTTTGATGTGTTGAAACAATTCTACACAAAATGTTATTTTATCATTTCATGCAAAGAGTGAAAATGTTTCAAATCTAATAATCAAAATTTAATGTTATCAAATGGCTAAAACTATTTTTAACTTCAAATTGCCTGTTGAATCAATATATTTCTTTTTATTTTTATACTGTGAATAGGATAACTGGCACACAAGAATATCTCATTATTGGTCAGCTATTTGGTTTTTTAAAGAAAAAAATAAACATTTCAACTTTGAACATGATCATACAAAGTATTATGACAAAATTATAGGAATATAAAACTTTAGTATAATAAATAATTAAAAATTTTGCCGATTTAAAAAGAATCAAAAAAAAAAAAAAAAAAAAAAAAAAAAAAAATTTAGAACAGGATATCACATCCTAGAACAATTTTTTCTTTTAAGAAAATGGTTGATTAATTTAGTAAGTAATTTAGATATTTTAATTTGTAATGGGCTATATTAGCATCTTTATTACCAAGTAATTAGTCATTTGAGATCTCTCTCTACAGATTTGCAATTCAACCATCAAAATGACTGCTGTAGAGTTTGATAGACTAGAGAGCAACTGGCTGAATGCCAACTGAAAGGAATTATTTCTGGTCACTAATGGTCAAGGGAGAAGATCACCAAAGGAACAACGTGTTTGTGCATCTTGTGAAGAAGTCCAATCAGCAACAAAATGATTACATTCTGGCAATGTAAAACGGGGGGGGGGGGACCGGGGTTGAAAATAAAACTTAATTGATTTTATGGGGTAATAGAAATATGGGGGGGAGAGAGAGAGAGAATATTACCAGAAACTTCAGTACCATATGCATAACTGTTTCATACCCAAAGAGAACACTGAAATTAATTATTACTAGATAACTGTAATCATTGACATTAGCAACAATACATAGCCAGACAAAAAGTAGTATTATAAAAAATTCTGTTCATTAGTTAGCAAAGCACACAATAATAATATGAACACTTAACTTTGTACACAGACACAAAAATACTCTATACAAATATAAATTATCATTTGAAGATGCAAACAAAATAAACTTTATCCATATAAAGAGAATACTTGGAAAGTTAATCAATGTAATCATGATGGATTTTATAAGAAGTTTTTCTTCAATATCATGGTTTCTCTACCAGGAAGGTTTGTGACAGCATTTAATTAGATTTTTTGTTTTTTGGATCTTTGCAGCAACATAGAATTATGTACAGAAATACATTTATATAAATGTGTTTATTTTCATAGGAAAGGACACATTGAAGATTATATTGAATATTTTTTATACAAATACTACATAACTGTTTATGTAAAAGCAAACAGATAATGAATTAATGATTCTATCTGCAAACCTACTTTCATTTCTCGGCCATAACTAAAATAGACAAGGATTTGCACAAGGGGTTGCTGAAAAGTTCTCAGCCAAATCAAGAAGACTTGGAAAAAACAAAAAGCAAAAGAAAAAGGTTTTATCAAATATTAGAGAGTGGAACAGGCTAAGAACTTTTCAGCAGCTAATCATAGACATCAAATGTTAGCAATTTAAATTTTAAAGTCCATGTGCATTTCTTACATAAGATATTGAAATTTATACTTTCTGATAACAGAGGAACTTTTACAGAAGGTCCCAATTGCAAAACTAAATCCAATTTTAAGCTTGTTTCCTAAAAATATGCTTTTTGAGCTATTCATAATACACAACAGTTTTGAGGAAATGGTAAACTACTGGTGATGAAATTAAGACATTTTTTTTTAATACTGAGCGAGTTATAAAAAATTCTCTAGATTTACAAAGATAATGAATGATGTTAACAAATCATGGAATTAATAGACCTGCAATTACTCCAAGTAAAAAAAAAAAAAGAGAAAAGTATTGTATCCAAGTTTTATTGGCACATACTTTATACAAAAAGATCTGAGCACAAACATATCGAATGGACAATCATCTCTTTAACAGATTAGAATTTTTTAATTTTAGAATGAAAGCCATT